GAAATATTCAAGACTTCGTTTGTATAATTTATTCTTCAACCGAAGGCTTGACTAGCTGATCTCCAGATTTATTGCAATCTAGACTTTTCTATGATTTTCTTCTCTGATTTTGGAATTGCAATAGACTGCTGAAAACCCCATTGGGCTAACCCATTTGAGTTAATGAGGACAGAATCTCAATTATTCTGGATTGAATTTGCTGATATAAACAGGAATAGAAATACCAAGTGTAAATTGGGAAGGAAACAGACACCAGTAATGCATTTCTATTATACATCAACTGACGGGCCATGAATCTGGGCCCATGTGTGAATGACTGATGGTATTGCTACATGCAAAATAAAATAGTGCTTGCCTCTCCTTTATTTTAAAGCACACCATTTCAAAACATTATTTCAACACGTATCTCTGGCCAAATTAAACTTTTACTGTCCAGCAGGAGGAAAGCACAGCTATACTACCAATGAAGCTGATCACTGCCTTTTAGTCTACTGGTGTAATTTTTGTCCTCTTGATAACTGTCAATTTATATTTGTTAGACATTTGAAGTTCTTTATCTCCAATGCATACTGAGATGCAGCTCAGAGAGACTTACATTACTGTCTGATACTTCATGGTAAATCAGAGAGGCTTACATTACTGTCTGATATTTCATGGTAAATTTATACACATGACCTTAATGCCTAGCACCGAATCGTGTGAGTTTATGACACTAGCTGTCTAAAAGCTAATTTTCTCACACTTGCCAGTACTTTTTGACTGATCCTTAGCAATCTGGTTGATTTATTATAATTTACTGAGAGACTGAAATGATTTGCTGAGTAGAAGAGGTGATTTCAAAAATTGACTTGAGGTGAGTATTGGTGGACAAGAAGCAGCTTTCTCTTATAGGTGGAGAGCAGTTCAGCGTTTTAGGAATATAGCCATGTAAATGTTTTATTCATGTCAGTTATTCACATAAGTGGGTTTCACTTTAGTGTGTAACACAAGCCAGCTGGTTTGCTTCTTTTAAACTCTGATTTCTCATGCACTTCATATTGCTACACCCCCTTCAGAGATATTTATGGAAATTTCACAGCAAGCTGTCTCAAGCTTATGCGCTATTAAGATTCCATTCTGGGGTGTTTACTGCATTAGATTTATAACATATAGATTTATGGACTCAACTAGCTGATGGCCTAATAAAACACATTGGAACTGAAGGCAACTACTAATTAAAATAATATTTGATTGTCTTCAGCATGTTGTAAAACTGCTGTGGATTTGAACAGAGCCACCGCAGCTTCTGTATTGTGTCATAGCATAACTGCATAGGAAAAAGCACAATCCACATATAAGATCAGCTAAATTGTGGCTACACTTAGTGAATTATAACACGTTTTTCTATCTGTATACACTGGAGTGGGCTAGTGTTGAAATAACTCTTAATGCCCTCAAAGATTTGGCTGTTCTAAACAGCAGAGAACAAAAGGATTGAAATTCGCAGCTAAGGAGAACAAGTTTATAGTACCGGTACCAGGACAGTAAAGTATCAACTATTCTGCTAATCCTCATTTAAATGATTTGATTAACTGCTTCTGAAAAGGATCAGCTGATAAAGATGGAAGTCAAGCTACATTCCTCCTAGAAAAAGCTATTTTCAACATTAGGTAGAGTTTTCATCTTGAAATCTCTACCAAACTGTTAGAAACAAGAGACTTTTGTAACCCTTAGTCCTTGCTCTAAATAGTTAACTTCCCAGATGGACTTCATGCACATTACAAAGAGTAGTGAGAGGTATGAATTTTCAAGCATAGGAAAAGCCTAGTTTACGCTCTGTACAACCTTTTGAACCAGTCATGTAAGCAATGCTAGGAAATAGGTAAAAAGGAATATTAATTATTGTGATGTCTTATTCCAATGTTCAGTTAATTCCATTCTAATGAACTCAATTAAGACCTCTTAACAAATGTGGTTGTTCCATTCAAAAGAACACGGAGGGAGATTTCATTCCCTTCTCTGCGATTAGAACAGATAAATATTCCTTGCCTGCCGCATAAAGACTGTCATGAAGAACTGCATAGGACAGATTACAGAAGGTAACAACGATGAAAAACGTGAGCTCCTATCACTTGTAATGCCAGGAGCACATGAAGAAGAGGGAAGAACATTTATGATCCGTTATTGATCAAAGGTCAGATATGCAAAAATTCCTTAAAAAGCATGTTCATGTGATCTACTCAGTTCTAATCTGTAGTTTCAACATGCAGAGACAATATGAGAAACATGAAGTTTTGTGAAATTAGGATTCCACCATCTAGACTAGCTGAGATTCTACTGTTACTAATAAGCACCTTATTGTTACAGCTGCAAAAGTTCAGCATCCAAGTGCAGATCTTAAAAGAAATTTCTTGAGCACATTTAGCAAATTTAGCTTCTGCTGAGTCATCCAGATAAGCACTTGTATGAAAAACACAAGTAACAAAACCAGAAAAAAAAAGAGAAGAGGGAAAGTGTCTCAAGAATGTGAGAATACTTCTATTCTATTGCTAAATTGTATTTCTATTATATAATTTGTATAATACTATCTTCAAGCTCATTTTCCAATTATGCTGGCATAAACCTGTATTTCAAACGTTTTATCTAGGACAGAATCCAGCATTCACCTTAACCCTCCAACTGTGCTGTAATGGCTCCCTTTATCAACAGATGGAGACCAAGGGAACAGTCCTCTACTTTCACAGCAGCTCTCATACTTATTTCCATTGCAATGAAATTGGCTATTGATTCATTTTAATTTCCTTTATTTTTCTACATAAAGTTATTTTTCTTCTTTTTTTTTTTTTTTGGTATAAATCCCAGAATTTACATCTATCTGAAAATGAAAGCCACGTTTTGATTAGAGCTTGAAAGTGCTATCATATATGGTGTGTTTGGAAACCTCTGCAAAAAAAAAAATCTCGTCTGCTTTAATACAACTAGCTCGAGGCACCATGGGGTGAATTGAGGACAACAGAACAGTGTGCTTGAAAAAAGAAAAAAAAAATGTCCCTGCTTTTCTTGGCTAACTAATACATAAACTTCAACATGACTTGTGCAAGAGTTTGGGATAAAAGTAATTGTATCTCAGTGCAAAGATTTGCTGCCCTTCCTGTCTTTTAAAAAGTGAGTCCACCTGCAAAATAGCGTCTTCATCATAACTTTAAGAATTAAAGAATATGTAAATTTCAGCAGCCAGAATATCTAACTATTAATTAAACAATGATTCATGAGATATATGGAATGGAGATGATTTTTTTTTTCAGCAATTGTTTCAATCTGTTGGAGGAATAATAAAGAAAACTATTATATGAATTAGTTACCAGTATACTGGGGGGAGGGGGGAAGGGCACACTGTGCTATTCATTTCCAGAAGCTTCTGGAAGATACAGTGAGCTACTTTTTTTCATGCACTTCTTCTTCCAGAACCTGGGAACACAATGGAAAAGAACCTTCCCTAACATATACCACAAATCCCTATAGCTTTTATCAAGTAGGTCTTTCCAAAGAAGCTTCCAATTCTCTACCTGTAAGACATTAGCAGGATATAAACCATAATTTTGAGTTGGTAAATAATGAATTTCCACAGCTTTTTTTAAATTATTCTAGTCTTTTAGAAATCATTACAGAAATCTTATACTTAAGGAAAGCAAAAAAGCAAAAAATAAGGTTTCAATCTTAGTGCTTTTCTTTCACATGATCGCCTCTTCTGATGATTACTAATTTAAAGCTTTCGTAGATGTTTTCTTTATGCTTTAGATACTCTGTTATTGTAGCATCAATATCACCTTTCCTCTAATCTCTGAAGAGTTTGAAAATTTGTTTGCAATAGCTTCCAAAAAAATGCAGGTGTCTCTCGATACAGACATATTTTTCTGTATTTTTTTCTTTTGGGGGAAAGGAGGAGGAGGTAACAACCGCTCACTATTACAATTACTACATTATTAGTTAGCTTAATCTTTGGCACCCTCTTTAAAATGTATAAAGCAAAGCCTACGGAAACTGCAACTGTAGGTATAATTTATAACTTTCATAGGGTAGAAATCAAGAACAAAAACAGTATATATGCAGAATACAAAAGACAACTTTTGCAAGAGGTACAGCTTCAGTGGCATTATCAATGGAATAAAAGTTGCTTAACCTGCAGCCAATGACAACGTGAAATGTCAATCTGTGATACCAAGTTTGTAAACTGCTGTTTAGTATTTTAAGTGTAAAGTCTAGATTATGAGGATTTTTCTTCTAAATGGTATAGCACTTGGAAATCTCTTGATTCTTTTATAATTTTAACTAAATGATTTCAGTCCTGTTCATTCATCATCTAGCAGCAACAGAACTTATGAAGCAAGAACTTATGAAGCAGGATATGTCATCAAGAAAAAAACATCAATGGCTAGAGATAGTTCAGAGACAAGGCAGAACTAACTGTTAAAGGAGTTCCCGTCAAGACACCCATTCAGGACAGGAGATAAAATGAAAATTACTAACGTTCTAGTTATAATGCACTATGAGGTGTGCTGGCAGAATCAGAGGAGCAGACACAAAAAGCCAGGTACTAGTTCAGCTGATGAATTTGGTAAGACTCTTGGACTTTGTGCTCCTTAAAGCCACAATGGAACTGAAACCCATGGATTAAATGAGACTTGTTATTTTCTCAAAATATGTCTCTGTCCTGGTTTCAGTTAGAACAGCGTTAATTTTCTTCCTAGTAGCTGGTAGAATGCTATGTTTTGGGTTAGGATGAGAAGAGTGCTGATAACACCCCGATGTTTAAATTGCTGCAGAGCAGTGCTTATACTAAGCCAAGGACGTCTCAGCTTCTTGCTCTGTCCTGCCAACGGGCAGGCTGGGGGTGCAGCAAGAGCTGGGAGGGGACAGACCCAGGACAGGTGACCCAAACTAGCCAAAGGGGTATTCCATACCATCTGACGTCATGCTAAACAATATATAGGGGTGGCTAGCCGGGGGGAGGGGGCCAGACTGCTCGGGGTTAGGCTGGGCATCGGTCTGCGAGTGGTGAGCAATTGCATTGTGCATCGCTTGTTTGTACACATTATTAGTAGTAGTACTATTATCATCATTGTACTATTATTATTATTGTTATTATTATTTTCCTGTCTTATTAAACTGTCTTTATTTCAACTCATGGGCTTCACTTTCCACTTCTCTCCCCCGTCCCAGTGAGGGAGGGGGGAGGGTGAGTGAACGGCTCTGTGGTGTTTAGCTGCCGGCCGGGTTAAACCACGACAGTCTCTTAGAATTCTTCCATCTCCCCCAAATTAAGAACATTTAAGAATGCATATATATACTTGTAAAGCTTTTAGGGAATGAGATTTTTTTCCATATCTCCTAGGTCCATTAGAGGGTCAGACTCAACAAGGGAAGTTCTCAGTATTGTGGACTGGGGGTTTCAAAGACATCTGAAGAATTGAGTCACACAGTTCTCACTGAATTTCAGTTGTATTTCTGACTAAGCCCTCTAGGACCCTCTGGACAGTGCAGTACTAAACCACAGGAAAGAACAAGTGATGTTGGTAATAAAGACGGACAGAAAACACGTGAACATTTTCGTTAGCTTGCCTTTTTTTTTTCTCCCTGTTAATTCTAAGTTTAAAAATGCATTTAGTTTGATGGGCTTTTATTTCAGCTCTGACCCATTTTCCCTCAGAAATACTCACTTGATGAAGTATTTGATTCCATCTGCTGTATAAGCTTCTTCCCATCCATATGGTAGACCTAGGACAAAATAAAGAAATAAGATGTCTCAAAGTTTAGGTGACACAAGGTTTTGAAGTGGTGTAAGTTCAAGCCATCTCACAGAATGATTACAAAAGAATTCTCACTCTTTTTGTAGTAGGAAATAATATAAACAATGCAATTTAATACATATTTGCTGAGCTACAAAGCTATATGCAATTCAACGATACTTCTGCTATTTCTTTTCCAGAAGCTGACAGTTTGGTCAAATTGCAGTGCAGTTAACTCTATTGAACTTTTTATTGTAATTCACACCCATTAAATAAATAAATAAATAAAAAGGCAAAACAAAAGAAAATAAAAACCAACCATGCCTGCGGTCTACTGAGATCTGTTTTAATTTGTTTTTACAGCTATTACATACAGATGCCAATGACTATATGAGGCAGGAGTCTGGGCTGAATCAAATCCTCTGCTGTCTGGTTTATCACCACCTCCTGTGTTTATACAAAACTCTGGAAATTTAGACGAACTCCGAGATGCTTAGAGAGTCAGAGAAAATACATATAGATATACATGTGTGTACTTTCCTATGTCTACAGATTTTGAAAAAGGTGAATTTTCTAAGTGCATTGCTTACTTTTGTGATTTACACTAACAATTCTTGGAACTAAAATATTTAGCACAGCACCATTTAGCAAAAATTAAAAATTAATTTTGAAGGGATGGTGTTTTTACATGTATTAAGAAACTGCTGCCCTTTTCCCTTTTTTAATTATCAAGCATACTAACCTTGAAAATGCAGTCCTGAATTTTGTTCTTAGTTTAGATGTCCCTTCCATGAGAAAAGTGAGTAATACTCTTAATAGGGCATTATATTATATCACAAAAAAAAAAAAAAAAAAAAAAAAAAAAACTTTACTTTTTTATTACTACTTGTTCAAAATCAACTGTAGAACTTAAAAAGTGCTGGAAAAAAGAACCATAAGTCAGTGTGTAAAAGTGCTCCTGATGTATGCTTTTGTGACACTATACTGTAATGTAGATAAGGAAAAGTGCAAGGTCTTTTTTTTGTAGATTAGAAATATCTATGAAATTAAAAAATGCATGGAAATAGTTCTGCAAGTACTTTAGCTTAAAAGTCGTCTGGAAATGTTAGTGTTTCAGGAGTTAAACAGTTTTTGTTCAAGCCACAGTCTATCTCAAATACCAGCTCATTAGAACCATCTGTGAGCCTGCTTTAGATTTAAAATTTGTATTTGGAGATCGTGCTGGACTGCACGCACCATAGGATGTTTGAAAACTTCATACTGAGGCATGCTCTAAGTGAGCATTTTTTTTTTTTAATTCTTTCTTAAAAGGCTTATTTTCTTCTTATTTTCTCAGATTGTCACACCTTTGTCTCTAGTGTGGTCCTTCTCAAAAATCTGGAAAGGGATGACTTCAGTTCTCAAAGACAAACAAAGTTCATTACAACTACTGAATCATTACTGGCACAACGAAGAAGATACAAACCACCTAAGAGGTAATTATAGCTGTAGGTAGGCACCAAGCAAACAATAATAAGCATGTCTACCAAAACTCCAGAATTCAGAAAGGTAACTTGAGAATTGGTACTTGTAGAACAGCGCCATCACTGTTTTGTACAGCTTGAAAAGCAAAAAGCACACTGATTAACTTTCTCCCTGTCACTTTTACCCCATATTACTTGGTAATCTCAGTTTTTTCCCCATTTTCAGTTTGGCATAAATCTATACAATCTGCTCCTTAAAAGATGCCACCTAGTGCTTTTGAGAGAGAATAATCCACAGCCACTTCCCTTTAAATACATGGTAGTTGCTGTGTAATGGTTTTCAGGCTCTAACTTCTATGAAGGAAGGTAGGAAAAGGGTGTTCGAAGTGATAAATACATTAGACTTGATCACTTGTTCATCCTTTCTATTTAGTCAACGTGAATATTTTCTAATGATCTGAATGGGAGCAGGATTCATCCTTCAATTGCTTCCATTTTCCCTGGCCTTTCCTCATTCCTGCATGAAACATGAATATCCAAAATAAATGACTACACACTTGCTCAGTTATGAATAAAACCTCAGCAGCTGCTCTGTGCTCACCCAGATCCCGTACATCACCTGTTTCATTCAACAGTGATAATTACACTTTTTTCACTAGTAATTTGACTGAACTTATTTCCTTTTTTTTTTTCTCTTCTAAATGAAGAATGGAAAGTAGGTAGCAATGATAACCAATGCTCTGTATTCTTTTCTTAACCATGAAAAACTACACTTCTCATACATACTGAATAAATCTGTCAGCTGCAAATAATGCTCTGGAGATATCCCCACAGCTTTATTTGTCTTGCTGACTTTACATGCATTAGGTTTTATGTCCAACTCAGTCTCCATATGCTTCAAAGCTCCACCTACACGTGTTTTTTAATGCCTTTATTTTCAACATTTTCACTCTTTCACTACTAGTCTCACTTCTGTTCCCTTCATGCCCTTCCTTCACTGTTAGATTTGTACTTGTATTTCTTGGTATTTCCCATGGTAGCCAGGAGGCTCTCATGTTTTACACTGTATTTCCCCAGACATCATCTCCACTTACTTCAAGCTCACTTTCTCCATGAATCATTCATAAGCTGATCTACTTCCTAGTGCCATATTTTTTCACCCCCCCCAGGGTCAGAGTTGTTATCTTTCCTAGGACTTGCTTTGAAACATTGCTAAGTTCTCACCTGGAGTAAATGGGAGGTAAAGAAGCTCAAACAGAAATGTAGTCTGAAACATACAGGATTTAGCCTATATAAACTGTGGCAATCTTTAGGTTTCCTACATATTTATCATTTCTTCTGTGAATTTCTACATTCTTTGATGAAACTTCATAAATAATATATCTTGGCTGCAGTTGTCTGCATACATAATCTTTTAAAAAAAGTCAGATTTACTGTATTTAAAAGTAGTTTCCTTACAGCAGAAAATACAAGGCTTTTCGCTATTCAAATATTTGTGATTATTTATCTTTTGCAAGGTAAGGTGAAAATAATAATGCAAAAGTAATTATGCATGCAAACCAAATGGAATACAGTCCAAAGCACCCTTTGCCGAAATAGAACAAATAGTCTTCCAGGGGACCACGTCAGCCAAAACACATTGTAACCTACCATTATTTTGTTCAGAGTATATGCATCTAATTAGGGTTAATGCAAAGAAGAAGTATATAATTTTTTTGTGAAAAAGAAGAACAACAAATCACTTGCTGTTGTATGTGTGCCTGTGTGCCAGCACTGCTGCAGCTGGCACCAGTGCGGAATGGCGGTATCCCTGGTGACTGCTTTCCTTCTCAGCTGCAAGACGCCTGCTGCGATACCCACAGTTGTAAGGTTAGCACTGCGTAAGGGGCAGAGAGTGAAACCCTAGGGACAGCAAATTTTTCCTGATACTTCATAAGGTGTGGATCTCGGTGACCTTTATCACTTCCCTGGGTCAAAAGGACAAAGAAAATGCATCAGCACTGATAGTTGGTTGGTTGCAGTAACAGAAAGACAAACACCAGGCCAAATTATAAACTCGTATAGAGTGACAGAAGTGGAAGATCCTGCCCATTATTTCTAAGACAGAATGCATATACCCTCCCCTGTGCTTCAGTCCAGCTCTCCTGGAATAAAAGTTGCACACAGCATCATCAATCAAGGTACATCACTAAAGGAACACGGGGAAAAGCACAGAAATTAGGGAAGAACCTCATTTTATTGGGCAGTTTTCAAACCTGTGAGTAGTGCATAATGTTATTCTTTTTCTTCAATAAGCTAGTTAAGAAATACTATTATATATGTAGAAAAAGAAATATGGACATCAGCAGATGAGACCGATAAAAGCAGATACCACAGCACAAACACTCAGGTGAAAAAAGCGACAGTTATTTCCCTAACAGCTAAATGCTGCTGTGTTTTATTTTTCTTATTTCTGACAAAATTACTCAAAGAAATGAGAGATTCAGAGACTCTAGTAGGAGTTGATCAAAAATTTACTGTTCACTAGGATTCTATCTAGATTTGGTCAAAGTGGGACTATTCCGATGATTAAAAAAACAAGTTATATCTTTTGTCAGGGCTAAACAATCTCATGGCTGGAGCATTAAACCACCTCATCTGGAATTAATGAGGCATCAAGCTTAAAGGATGCAACATCTATCTGGAAGTCAAAAACCACATGGTGCATTTATTCAGTTTCACAATGAACACATTTTTTGACCACCAACAAATAAGAATGTCACTGTTTACGTATCATTTTGCCTAGCTTGGTTTCTGCAATTACACATACATTTTTAAGTAACAGGGCATGATCTACCTCAGAACTAGTGATTTATTTATGTTAAATATTACAATTCTGCAAAATTATGAAGTTTTTGAAGAAATAGTAATTATTTGTTAAAAGTATTTCTGATAGAAAAAGATTCACTAAAGGATGTTATAAACACTTTTCTCCATCTTTTGGTAAATGAGGTTTAGAACTCTGATCTCTTTTCAGCATCTGCCAGTTCAGTCAGATGTGCCTATCAGCACTCAAACCTTCCTTCTGCGGCTTCAATCATAATGCAAAATTCATTAGTGAAGCTCTCCAGGGCCTTTGTCTCTGCTCTCTGAGCTATCTAGGCGATGCAAGGAAAAAGATGGGAAAAGATGGAAAAAAGATGGAAAGCGAAAGATTCAACTTGTTGGTTATCTGATGCCTGGTCCTGGACTCCTGAGTACTACTGGAACATGGGAACATCCCAGATATGAGACTAGAGACCTCTTATGATGCAAGACTGGCAGAGGAACTCCTGAGTGAGTTACGCAATTTGGCACAGCTAAAACAAAAATTTGTGGAGGAATATCCATCTTGCTTGTCAACTGTGTTCAGTGGAGTTCAGGCATAAAATGACTCTTTTTTGAGGCTGCCAATAATATATAATTTATTTTAGTATTTATTTGCAAATTAACTGTAAAAAATCAGGTTCAGAAAAACAGCTTTCAGAAGAGAGTATGGACTTCTGGCTTTGTTTGTGTGCCACTTTATTTTTTAGACCATTTCAAGTGCTCTTCCCACAAACAAATGCGTTTCATTTTATGAATAATACTCTGCTAAGGGGACATTCCATTCCTTTCTTTCACATATCAAATTCCGTTCTAAAGACACTGTTCCTTTTTCTTTTGTTGATTTAATAAAACAAAGACGGAGTAAGTAGTTTTCAAGTGGAGACATCTGGGAAATACTAGTAATTGAAATTTATGCTAATTTAGAGTATGGTTGGCAGATTGACTTGTCTCCATTCAGTAGTGTTCCTAGAAACCACACTTCAGAAAAATATTTTCCTTACTTTGGCTATCCAGGGCATGGTGAAAGATGACCTTGTCTTTTCCCATTTCCTATTAATCATAAGATATTGACCCAGTATGTCGGCAAACACATTCATCTCTTAGTGAGACAAATACACCACATTAAGTGACTGTTAAGTATGAGAGTTGAAAAAAAAATTAATTGCTTCTCATGGTGAAAGCTTAGAAAGATCCTATTTTTATCAGAACATTGGCTTATATGACCAACTTTAAGATCTTTATGGTAATTTTGAAATTACAAACTGTTTTGATATAGATAATCAGGAACAGCATGGAAACAATGGAACTTTTAAGACAGCCAGTCAAATGACGTATTTATGGAAATAAGACTGACCTCTGTTCAGTACATGGGATCAGACATTATTATAGACATACTTTTTTCCTAGCTGAGAAATAAGGAAATACAAATTTAGAACAAACTGCCTAGCATGCACACTGAAGTTCTTCAGAAAGGACTGAGAGCTATAGTAATCCAAGCAATGTGGTTGCTGCTATGTGTCTTCAAGATGAAGTAAGAATTATCTTCCTGAGACATTACTTTAAAAACGTATCTTTTCAGAAGCTGAATGCTGGAAATACTACTTAAAACAAAAATACATATTTTTCAACTAACTACTAATATTCTCCTTTCAAATAAAGCTTCAGGTTCTGTAAGATCTAAGCTATTTACACTGTTATTAAAATGAGCAGTGAACAGGCTAGCTGAGGCTCATCTTTATCCATGCAGGAGGTCAGCAGTGAAAGCACAAGATAAGCACACCACACTTAACAAGGGCAATAAAATGCTTTCTTCTGCCTTGCTGATGGCAAGCAAATGTATACAACCAATTATACAGAAACAACAGAAGTCAATGGAGCTTGCAGTACTATAGCATTACTATAAAACATTCTGACTGCCTTTCAAGGGGAGCAGAAAGAGTGCAGCAAATTAAGCTCTGAGCCTGTCCGTTTCACCAAATGGAAGCTGTTCTTCCAAGGTGCACTGGAGAAGATAAATATTTTTGGGAGAACAAGGAAGGTAAATAAGCCACTAGCAACTGAATAAAAACAAACACCAACCAACCCAAATAACCAAACAAAAACAAACACTGACCTTTGGATAAATCCTCATTTTAGCCCTGAGGAAAAACAGATGATTCATGGCA